TTCTCATTTTGGGGGGCAATTTTCTCAGTCTTCATGGTGGATTTTTCTAGGCCAGCAATTTTCTCTTCTATGTCTGAGATTCTATTTTCTATATGATCTAGTTTGCTTTTAATACTTTCAAGGGAGATTTTGACTTCTTGCATTATAGCCTTCATCTCTAACAGTTCCATTTGATTCTTTTTTTAAAAGTGTAATTCCTCTTTTAGATCTTGCAAGAATTTCCTCACCTCCTGGAACTCATCAGCTTATTTCTCCTTTCTCTTCTGCAATTCATTGTCTCTATTCTCTTTCATCTCTGTTAGCTTCGCCATTATGAATGTTCAAAATTCTTTATCAGACATTTCCATGATTTCCATTGAATTGCTTGTGGATGAAGAGGAGTTGTTCTTTTCCCTTGGAGGAGGAGTATTTTCTTGCTTTCCCATGTTTCTTGTGGTCCTGTGGTGATTTCTAGTTTTCTGATGAATGGTGTGTTTCTTCCTAATTCTTGAAGTTCAAACTGAACGTTCAGGAGCAAGCAGAAAGAGGTGATCTGGAATCTCTTTGATGTTCTGTTGTGATCACTTTGTGCAGCTGATTCAGCAGATATTGAGGAATATGTTAACCCTAATAGTATTTGGATGTTTAGCTAAAGTGCCCTTAGAACCATCTAGAAACACAGTAAATGGATATTGAAGAGTGGAGAGATGAGAAAAAAGAAAACAAATAAGAGAGAGAGAAACAACAACAAACAAACAGGAAAAAAAAAGAAGGAAAAATTAAAAACTTTAAAAAATTATCATTATTATTTTTCTTAAAAAAAAAAAAGCACAAAATAGAAAACCATGCAGTGTTCAAGCACACTGTGTGAAATCATTACTTCGCAGGAGCCATGAGGAATCTTCTCCTGAAGGCCTGCTTCTCACCTCTCCTGCCTGGGTGGTAGGAGCAGAGGGGATTATTAACAAGACAAAAGGCAGAGCTGAGAGCAAGAGAAAACTTTACCTTTAAAAATTTTTAAAAAGGAAAAATTACCAAAAAATAAGAAGACAGAAGCAGGGAGAGACAGAGACAGAGATAGAAGGCTAGAGGAGCTCCCTACCACTCTAGATTGTTTGCCGGAGGCTGAATTATTCAGTAAGAAATCTTCGTTTCTCTTTTACCCTGAAATCACTACTTCGCAGGAGCCATGAGGAATCTTCTCCTAAAGGCCTGCCTCTCACCTCTCCTGTCACTCTAGGTTGTTTGCTGGAGGCTGAATTATCAGTAGGAAATCTTCATTACTCCTTTACCCTGAAATCACTACTTCACAGGAGCCATGAGGAATCTTAGGAAGGGAGAAAAATTCTTCAGTTAAAATATTTTATTTTACAAATGGCTAAACCTATCAACGACTCAAAAGAACACCAAAATCCTTAAATATGGAAGAAAAATCAAAGAAGAAAATCAGCAATGTTTTAGACAAAAGTCATAAAATTCTATTTCACCAATTCAATCTTACATAATCTCTCTTTTGTTGAATTTGTAGTGTTACTATGGTCTGATCTTTCTGTTTAAAACCTGAAAGTTAACATTCAACATTATTATTGAAATTTTTGAACTTGTCCCTACCATTAAGTTGGCCTTTTTCTTAGTCATTTTTTTGTTCTCTTATTTCTGTCAGACTAGTTTTCCTGATATAGCACTCTTTCAGAACTTCTCAAAGAGCTGATCTGGTGTTGGTAAATTCCTTCAGGTTTTGTTTATCTGAGAATGTTTCGGGCTTTTCTTCCCATATGAAGGATAATCTTGCTGGATATAGTATTCTTGGTTTAAATTGTTTTTCACTTAACACTTTGAATATATTTTCCCATTCTTTCCTTGATTGCATTTTTTCCAACAAAAAGTCTGATGTTTGCCTGATGGGATAACCTTTAAAAGTAACTTGACGTTTCTCTTTTGCCAATTTTAGTATCTTGTCTCTCTGTGGTTTTGGTCAATATGGCTATGATGTGCCTTAGAAAAAATCTTTTTAGGTTGATTTTATGTGGTGTCCTTTGTATTTCTTGGGTCTGGATATTTGAATGCCTCTCTAGGTTTGGAAAGTTTTATTCCTAGGATTTCATGGCATAGATTGTTCCTTTAAGTACCTGAATAGTTCACAATACCTACGTCGAAATTCTTGTGTGATTATTCTAACATCTACGATACCATGAGGTCTGTTTCTATTGACTGTGTTTCTTCCCTGTAATTATAGGTCATATTTCCGTCTTTTTCACGTATCTAGTAAGTTTATTGTATGCTGAATATTTTGAATGCTATCTGTGGGGAGTTTGAACTATGTTGTCTTCTTTTAAAGAGTGTGGACACTTATTTTAGCAGTTAAATTACTGACAGATGTTTTTGATTCTGTTAGGCTTAGTATAATTCTTTGTCATTGTGGGGTAATTTCAATTTTGAATGCAGTCTTTGGCCATGTCCCTTAGTCCAGGGTAAGTTCTTTAGCCCGATAATTTAGAATTTGGGAGACCACCACAGAATGCCAAGAAAGTTCTCTCTGCTCTGGCTGAGTTGGGACTTCAGCTTCTTCTATCACTGCACACAGTCTGCTGTCACCTTCCATTCTCACCTCTCCAGCAGAAATATTCTAAGGGCTTCATGGTGTTTCTTTCTGCATGTGTGCCACTTAACTCACAGCCATGGACTCACAAAGAATAGTTCTGTACACTACTGAGATCTTCTCTTTTTGTAGATTCCTCTTGCCCTGTACGCTTCCTAACAAATCCAAGGTGCTAGATTTTATCTGCCTTTTTAGCTCACAGAGATAGCCACTCTGCTTGGTTCTCATTGGCCTGTAAGGGCAGAACAAGTTCTAAATCCATTATGATTATAGGGCCTGATTTCTCTTTAGTAAAGTAACACAATCCTTGATTGCCTACTGTCCAATTTCTTAAAACTCTAACTTCATATAATTTTTTTCCAGATTTATATTTATTTAATTGCAGGGGCAACTCCAAAGCAGTTACTCTGTTATAGCCAGAAACAGATGGTCCCCCTAGGAAGAAGTGTTCTGTCATGAGTTAGCTTGATCTAGAAGCCTGTTCCAGGGATGTTCATACTATCTTCCCGTACTTCATGCTCTAAATTCACCCAGGCCAGAAATGAGCCACAAGAGTAGCTGTGTTATAGGGAAGAGAGTCAGAAGAGGCTGAAAATTCAGTTTTTCTTCAGTTTGTCCAGATGGATAGGACAGTATATACATTTGACTTATGATTTTGTGGAATCAGAACTACATTAAATATTTGGACAGGCCATTCAGTATACCGGAAAGCATTCAAATTTGTCTGTGCTCCCTAGTAAAAGTTTGACTTTTATAGGACCAACAGGTGGTATGGTGGCTAAGGCACTGGCTGTGGCTGTTTAAGTCATGTGGTTGTGCAGTTTAAGTCCCTGAACTGGTGGCTTGAAAAACCCCCTGGGTGTGTATGTGCACCCAAAATTCTGAGACGTAATGGAGGAGAAGGAGTTGGCAGTGTGGCCATGCCCCAGGAGGAATGATTTCTCATTTTCTCTCTCTCTCTCTCTCACTCTCTCTCTCTCTCTCTCTCTCTCCCCTCTCTGGTGAGAGCAAATGCCCTATAGCAAAAAACTGAAATAAAAAAATTAATTATGACATTTATTAACATTTCAAAATATTGTGAATTATCATTGTAACAGTTTTAAAGCACTTTAATTTGTGGTAATCTTTGGGTAAGGAATATTTCATGTTTTATCTCATTTTATATTTACAATAAGTTAACACAGGTGTGTTGTTTACATTTTACTAGTGATGAAAGTGAGGCATTAACATGTTAAACAATTTACATATGATCATAGAGCTTAATTAGATAGAGTGATTCTGAAAACTAAACTCTAACTCATTATGTTACATAGTCTCTGTGAGTTTAGAAAAAACTTACTACAGATCAGAAATGCTTTCCCTTTGCCTTGAGAAGATGTGACAGTTCATTTGAAGGAACATTGCAGGTGAAGGGGATACTTACCAGTTTCTCCTCTTGATGGGAAATTGAAAGCTTTTCAACGATATGGCCATTCAGCTACTGAATTTTGAGGAAGACCTCGTACTTCATTCTAAAGGGAATAGGCTGAATTTTCAGTAATATCAGCTCTTAAAGACAGCACTGAAATTTTCAGGTACAATGTAATCCAGCTAAGGGTCCTTATTTTTCTGCAATAAAGTGTTGATATTGGACCACCCATGCCGTGTTGAGGATGGCCTTGTAGTCAATAAACAATGTCTTGGACTAAGCATTACAGTCGTTAAGGCCTGGTAGATTTGGTCGTTTGCCTGTTCTGTGACATGGAACAAATAAATCTTTGTTTTGTGCCTCAAACTCCTCATCTATAAAACAAAAGGATTATATGGGGATTTCTAACTTTTATCAAGCTCCATGACTTTTTAAAAATTGTGATTTCTGGGGACCAGCAGTTAGTGTAATGGCTATGTTGCTGGACTCCCACGTAGCTGACCGCGGTTTGCGTCCTGGACCCGGTGGCTTAAACTCACCCCCGGCGTGTGCCCAAGATTCCAAGAGGAGAATGGAGGAGAAGGAATTCGGCATGGCCATACCCCCTGGGAGGTGATTTCTCACTTTCTGTCTCTCTGTCTCTCTCTGTCTGGCGAGCGCACGCACCGTATAGCAAAAGAAACCTCTCCAAAAAAAAAATAATGTGATTTCTGGTTTACATTTGAGTTGTTGTATGTCTTAGTGGGGTATAGTGTGGTTTTTCAAAGCATATTTATTGTGTGTAATAGATAGACATATTCATCTTCAATGCTGAACATTACATTGTACACATTCAGTAATATGTCTACTAGTTTTTTGCTTTTTGTTGTTTTTTGGAAGTATATATTGAATTGTCAGTGACATTCTTCGCTCTGTTGTGGTATGCTGTTCCATGACTTATATCACTTGTTTTTTTTTTTTTCCTGTTTCTGTTGATCATGTTCTTTCTTTCCCCCCAACTCCACCCTGTACAGTTTCTGGTATTTGGTCTTACACTACCTACTTCTATGCCACTGAATTCTTCAGTTTCCTTTGGCCAAAATAAAATAAAATAAATATAAAATAAAATATCTAGGAGTAAATCCAACCAAGATGGTGGTCTCTACAATGAAAACTATCAAAACTTGAAGAAATTGAAAAGATATAAACAATGGGAAGACATTACTTGTCTCTGGATTGGAAGAATCAATATGGTTAAAATGTCAATAGTACCCAAACAAATATGTAAAGTCAATGCAATTCCTAAAGCAATGCTGTGCAAAAATAAAATTGGCACCATCTCACTCCCTGACTTCAAAATGTACTAGGAAGTCATAATAGCGCATGACCTTCTTTATAACTCAGTGTGTCTGTTTCTCTTTCCATCAGGGCACAGAAATACTAGTGTCTCTGACCTCTGTCCTATACGATGACAAAGAGTTTCCCAACCCAGAGAAGTTCAACCCTAGCCACTTCCTGGACAAAAGTGGCAACTTTAAGAAGAGTAACCACTTCATGGCTTTTTCAGCTGGTAAGCAAGTTTTCTTTACATTTGTCCATCAGGGGTCAATTAAGATTAAGAAGAACTCTATGAAGAAGCTTCTCTGGGCTGGATGAATTGCCACTCATATGAGAGCCACCAGTCCTAAAGTCCAGGTCATTGCTCACTGGATATGAGGTCACACTCACTGATTTTGCTTCCTGACCCACCAGTGAGATTCTCCTCCCAGAATTCCAGTTCCACTAACGTATTTCTCACCTATCCAGAGAAGTCAATTCACTCAATAAACCGAGCACTTTATGTATAGCAACCCAGTGCTCAGATCCAGGGATACAAATGTGAATAAGAAACAGAACTTCTGAGAGAGAAAAAAAGGGATTAACAGGAAATGAGACTCCAGAGTGATGATTGCTATACTCCAGGCTGCTATTGGGGCCCAGAGAAAGAAGCTTCTGACTCTAGTTATTTTGGGTCAGGAGTCAAGAAGTTGGAAATTTTCTAGCAGGAAGGAAAATTTTCTTGCAGGTAAGATAACTTTTCTTACAGAAAGTAACACTTGAGTATTTTCCCTCAATTTGTAAGAGTCCTGGGGAAAAATCAGTGGCACACTCAAAAAGATGAATTAAGAGAGTTTAATAAAGAAACTGTTTCCACAGCAGTGGGGAGGACAAGGGAGGTAAGAATGGGTGAAGTACTCAGGACTAGCATCAGCAGCAGGAAGATGCCAGCATCAAAGCTGGAAGGGACAAGGGAAGGAAGGTATTACTGAGACATGATATATCTTTAGCCAATACAGCATGAATGTTTCAACAGGAGGTAAAAGAAAATAGGCAATCCACAACTATGACAAGGTGGGACTAAGGGAATAAACACTCTGATCTTCCCAACATCAAAACCTCTGGATTTTTTCCAAACCACAAAAGGAACTAACTTCTGATTTGAAGTCTATAGAAATTAGTTTCTTGAGAACAGATAGTATAAAATATGGACAAAGGCAGAGTGGATCTGGAAAGGAGGAGAAATGGAGACCTTTTAGTAGGCTTCACAGGAGAAGGATAGCGGTTGGA